TTTGTTTTTTTTTTATTTTTCAAACTAAATATCGGTTTGAGTTTTTAATGTTTAACAATTATAAATTTTAAATAAGAAGAATATTTAAGATCATAATGTTTTCCATTCATACTTTTTTTTGAATCATATTATTTTTGGATCATAAAATTTTATATCATAGTTTTTTGAATCATAACGATATTATGCATCATCCATTTTTGGATCATATTAATTTGGATCACTTTAATTTGAATCATAGTATATTGAACTGAATAAAAATTTTGTTCATAATTTTTGAATCATTTAATTTTGAATCATAAAAAATATAATAATTAAGGATTATTAAATATTTGAATCAAAATATTTTCAGATCATAACAAGTTAAGGATCATAAAGATATTGAATCATAATATTTTGAATCATCTTTATTTACATCATTCATATATATATATATATATATATATATATATATATATATATATATATATATTAAAATTGGATATNAGAAAATATGGAGTATATATAAAAACCGACCAACTAAGAGGATAAAATTAATTTATCCTATATTAAAATTGGACATTACTACACGTCACCTGTTCATGTCTTTACGCATCACATGTTTAGCGACGGCCTAATCCGTTTATGCCCTTCACGATAGTGACGATACAAACCACATTAATACTCTCTATCTTCTCTCTTTTAACATTTTATGGCCACACTCCTCTCTCTCTCTCTCTCTCTCTCTCTCTCTCTAAACCTAAATAGCCAAGGGTTTCTCTCACTACAAGATCAACGCAATTTCCAAATACCATCCACGAAATTCAAAACTTTTTGAGCTAAATTTTCATCACGAGATCAGGAGTTTCGATGGGTTTTCGATCTTGGTTGATTCTTCACAAACCCCACCGACAACTTCATCCAAAATCAACTACATGAGGTAGGTTTCTAAAACTTTATATTTTTCATCCAGATTCACTGCGTGTATGTATTGGTTCTTGTTTGCTATGGTGTATTTGAGCTTTACTTTTCTATCAATTCAATCATGAATCTTTACTTTATTTATGTGTTTATGTTGTTGACTATGTGTATAAACTTTTGTTTTTAGGGTTCCATTTGGTTTCAACAGTCGAATTTATGCCAAAGTTCGATTTTTATTGCAGCCTTTACTCATATGAGCAATGAAATCTTTACTTTTGTAATTCCTTAGACTATTTCTATAAATATATGCATATGATTATGTGTTTTGTGATGCGAAAGTTGTATTTATTTTGTATCTCACTTAGTGATATTGCAATTAATTTGTTTCATAATTTAGATAGAAACTTACTTTTGGCAGATATTTTTGTTCCTTAGATACGACCATCACGTTTTTTCTTTCCACTTCATGTGTTGTCTGAGTTTGTGATTTTATGTAGGGTAACATTGAAAAAACTTGTTTAATTAAGTGAACGATTTAAATGCATGTATTTCCCTTATATTTATATAATATGATTTCGATTATGCTCTTGGGCTTTTTTGAAATCATACTTGCTAAAATTTCTTAATTTGTGACATAATGTAAAATTTTTGCAAGTGAATATACCAAAACAAGTGAATTTATGAGCTTTTCTATTCGGTATATGTACATGTGATTTTCCATTAATAGTAAATACTATAACCAATATGCAACTCATTGTTTTTCTTAGAAGCTTTAAAAATTGAACTCGTTGAAATTATCGTCAATTATATATGACTGATATCTTGTCTTAATTAATTTATCTGTATTCTTGCTAGGTTCTTCCACATTTGTAGCGACTGTTGTGTTGTAGCTGTTAATTAATTATCTACTCACTTTCAATGGAGATCGGTCTCAACAAACAAGAAAATACCAAAACAAGTGAATTTATGAGCTTTTCTATTCGGTATATGTACATGTGATTTTCCATTAAAATTTAAAAATGAAATGGTTAATTTGATCTTGTTCTCATATATGCATTTGATCTTCAACCGATCATGTTTATCAGCGAGTATGTTGCTGAAATTCGCAAAAAAGATCGGAAGAAATGTTGGCCTTTTGGATCATTGGGTGATCCTGAAAAGTATGATGTTTTTGCTTCATATCAATCGGTAGAGTCTACATTCTTGTGTAGTCAAAACTATCCCAGTGATCATATTGATGGTTCAGATGATAAACCAGAACATAAAGAAGCTTCAAATCGTAAGCCTTTAATTCGATTCTACTTACTTTGTATGTTATTTGATGCTGATATTCAATCTTTGTGTTTGCTCTTTTGAAAGCATCTAACAAAGAAACTCTCAATGGAAAAGAAGATCAAGATCGATCTCAAACTACAGATATGATTGAATCTCTAGGAGCCAATGGTATCAATATATGCAAACGAGTCAACAATGGATACCCAGATTCGAAATCTTGCAAGGTGATTTACAAGGATCAAAACCGAACTGAAAATAGTGCGAATGGAAGTGGAGATAACGATAAACCTGGAAGAAATCAGCCACGAAGGAAACATCAGAAGCTTTGTTTGTTGTCTGATATATTAAGGAATCTTGACAAAGTTAACACTAAATCCACTACAGAAAGTAAAGATGAGTTGGATGACATCACCTTGGATGTTAAAGTTACCACAATGTCAAAAAACAAGATGATGACAAATGGTGTTGAAGAGACGAGATTTGAAAATGAAGAAAAGTCACAGTGTGGATCAAAAAACTCGCATGAAAATGATTCGAGGAAAACTAGGATTGATGACATGGATTTTCAGGCCATGACAAAGCGTAGAAAGGTTAGACCACTGGAGGAAAATGGTATCCAATCTACAGAAATAGCAAACGAAGATTCTGAAATGGAGGCTGTTATGTTATTGGCTACGCATTTTAACGAAGAGAATCCTTCAAGTTCAGGAGATGATGCAAAAAGAGTTCAAATTGTTCAATCGAACATGGAATTGGAGTCACTAGAAGGAGAAGCAAGCAAACATATCACTACTTATTCACCAATATTATCAAGTTCTGGTGGGTATCGAGCTGAATTTAGGCATGATCAAGGGTTTGCAATGGGGACGCCTTGTGCTTGTGTCCATAAAAAGATCCGAGTGAGTTTAGGGACAGAGAATAGGAGCTCAACAGCTGGCATTTTTCAAAACAATTTGACTCTTGTGTGCTCGATTAATAGGAATCCAGCTGATTTCAGCATACCTAACGCTCAAAATGTGTTTATGAGAGGAGGTTGAAGTTTAAGCAGCGTTTTCGTGGTCTAAAAATTACGCTCGTTGTCGTATTAGAAGAATAATCATCACAACTTTGAAGTTGTTCCAAGTAATATATAAGATTGTTGTATTACATATATCATATTATACATGATTAGCTATATTCCACAAATCTTATGTTCTGATTTGAACGCATAAGTTGGTTTATTTTTTAAGTTTGTTGTAATTTAGTATTTGGCGAAACAACAAAAATAGCTCATCATAAATTATAAACTAGTTTTTTGATAAGTTATCTGAGATAACTTATTTATAACTTATTGATAAAGTAACTAAAATCTAACTAAATTAGCTTAGCTTATAAGCTAAAATCTAACCAAATTATTCTATTCCATGCGTGTGTAGATACAGGTTGCACATATGGAGAATCTATTGGGCTTAATTTTTGGATCAGATGGACCGGGTAGGTCTTTGACTGGGACCGGTCCGAATTTGTGGTATTTGAGCTATAACATCATCATATTCTTTTTTTTTTAAACCGTTATACTGGTTCGGGGTTTTTGGATAGGTTTTTATTTGTATTTTCTTAATATTGTATTTTGAGTTTATTTATGACAAAACTTCAAAAATGGTCCCTGTGGTTTTCGAAAATATCAAGTTTAGTCCCTAATTTCAAAAAACCTCACAGATGGTCCCTGTGGTTTCAAAACTTTTAACAAATGGTCCTTTTCGCTAACTCCGTTAACATTTGACCGTTAAGTGAAGGGCATTTCTGTCATTTCACCACCACAGGGACCATTTATGAAGTTTTGCCTTATTTTGTAAAAAAAAAGAAAAAAATATAATTATTTAATATTAAAGGGCCCCACCCTCTCTCTCTCTCTCTCTCTCTCTCTCTCTTCCCTTCCCGTTTTTCTTCACCACCGGCCAAGAAGAGGCTGCCGACCATCGGAGTTGCCTCACCTTTCCCAGCCTCCTCCACCTTCCTCCGTCGAATCTGTGATGCCGACAATGGAATCTTCCCTGTTCGTCAAACACCAGCAAGAACAATGTCTGATTTGTGTTAGTTCTAGGATAAAGTTCCGTCATCTTGTTTTATGGTGAATTCAATTGCATCGATTCTCTTGAAGTAATCTTCAGGGGGGATTTCATGATTGAAGCACCACGATACACCATTGTTCACCCAATTTTCAATCTATATGAAAAAACTAAATTACCTGATGTCCACTTTCATTAACAAGATCGAAGTTTTGTCCACGATACACCACTGTTCACCCACTCGTTCCCAACCACCGCCAGTTTCAGAACCAGATGCAGAACCATCTACAAATCTGTATTGTAAAGACGATGAATTAGGCAACTTTAAGTTGTTAGCCAGTTACAACTAAGGCTAGACAACACCAGCAATGACAACAAGCAAGGAACAATACAAAATTGAGTTACATGATAGTAATCTGTTCTACCTAGAACATTAGGGCATTTTGACAGTTTCAATTTTTTCATACAGAAGAACGAGAAATAGATATCGTGAATTGAGTATTCACCTGAATGGACTCATCTGGACTTCCTCCAATAATATTTACAAGGTTGTATTCACAGGTTACAGCTAATAGGGGATGTAGTCATCGTCTTCATCAATTCGAGAAGGGAAAAAAACACACAGGAAGTAGAAAGGTTTGGTGTTGAAGATCTGTTGCCGAGACCGACGATCCCGTTTTTCTGACGAGTTCGTTTCTTCCTCGGTATTTAACCCAACAGCGGGACTGTGGGAACAGATGGAAGACAACAATGACCAAGGGAGGGTGCTACGCGATGGTGGTGAGCTCGAAGGGTAGTATGGGAAAACTCCGATGGTCGGCAGCCTCTTCTTGGCCGGTGGTGAAGAAAAACGAGACGAGAATGGAAGAGAGAGAGAGAGAGAGAGAGAGAGAGAGAGGGTGGGGCCCTTTAATATTAAATAATTATATTTTTTTTCTTTTTTTTTACAAAATAAGGCAAAACTTCATAAATGGTCCCTGTGGTGGTGAAATGACAGAAATGCCCTTCACTTAACGGTCAAATGTTAACGGAGTTCGCGAAAAAGACCATTTGTTAAAAGTTTTGAAACCACAGGGACCATCTGTGAGGTTTTTTGAAATTAGGGACTAAACTTGATATTTTTAAAAACCACAGGGACCATTTTTGAAGTTTTGTCTTTATTTATTTATTTTTTAATCATGCTCTTGTAACATATTCTTGAACATGTACAATATATATATATATATATATATATATATATATATATATATATATATATATATATATATATATA